AAACTGTGGTCAATGACATGAGACAAAGTATATGTGAACTGCTGTATGGAAAGTGAATTTGCTCTGTAAATCTTCACCCAAATAAAAACAAATAAATTATAATAAAAAAAAAAGGTTTTAATTGGTCAGTGACTCCATGCTAGCTTCCTTAGAGTGGCATGAGAACAGTTGATTTTTGTCCATACATTGTGACTATTCAATAAAACTGAACCTATCAGGAAAATAAAATTTACTCTAGCTCTTTATTTACAGGAACATGGAAGAAAAATCTTGAAAGTCTTAGAAGAAGTGTATGCCTGGCTTCCAATTGGTGCAATAGTTGATAGTGAAATTCTGGTCCTACATGGTGGGATATCAGAGTCAACAGACTTGAATTTTCTCAGCCGTTTAGAACGAAGCAAAGTGAGTAGTAATGTCTGCATAGATCTTATCTCAGAGGTTTATTAGGGAATGTGTGCCTCTTTTATTTATTATTGTATACTGATTGTGCTTTTGTGGTCATTTACTAATCTGAAAAGATTAGTAAAAATTTTAACAAAAATTTATGAGTGGAGGATAAAGAACTAAGTGAGTAACTTCTATATCTGGAAAATATTTTAAAAATTCATGGTGGAAGTGGGGAAATGAGAAAACTGTGTTTCACATAGTTTCCAAAAGTGAAAAATCCTGATTTTTTAAAAAGTAAAATCTTAATTTCCTTTTAAATTGATATAATTTCTTTTATAGTATAGTTCAAGTAGCTCATGGGAATTAGAAATTAGTTTAAATCTATCATATTAAATACAGCAAAAGCCAAGCAGGAAAACATGGACAGGACCTCTAAGGGAAGTGGCTATGTGGTGCCGATAAAGATCCCACACTTAGCGAAGGGCTCCCTTGAGTGGACCTTGCAGAGCGAGTGGAGTTCTCTTCTTTAGACTAGGGGTGGGGGATGAGGGGTAGGGGAGGAGCCAGTGCTCTGCAGTGGTCCCCGTGAGGACCAATAGCAGCTACAGATCCGTATAATAGTATATGGCCCTAGTGAGAAATCCAGACGTTTACCCCTTAGGCCTGATAATCAACTTCCAACCAATCGAGGCAGGTGGGGTCTCGACCTGGAATTTTGTTTGATACGGACAAAAGTGTGACACTTATTGCACCTTGAGTTTTTTGATGCCTTTTTACCTTTATACACATATGGATGATGATATTGTTGCTAATGTCTACTCATCCTTTTAATTTCAGTTTAGTTATGCCTCTTCTTCAAGACTAGATCAAGTCCCCTTTTATATGTTCTCAAGCCCCTTGTATGTGTCCTTCCTAACAGTTCCCAAAATTAAACAAGGAATTGCAGTGCAATTTGTTTACTGTCTTTCCATGCTTCCTTAGGCCAGTGTTTGTTAAATATCTCCTAAGACTTTCCGGACCAAAGTAGGGTAAACTAAGAGAAAAGTGGATGGAAATTTTTTCAACCCCTCTCCCAATTCTGGGTCAATTTACATGCCCCAACTTCATCCAGTGAGGACCATACTTCCTGGCTTACACCTGTTATTTGGGTATAACTGTTAATAGCACTTCCTTTCACCCTCACAAGTATCCCAGTTGCAAATATTTTAAGATCACCCTAAGTCACAGTTCTACTCTGATACACATGGGATCATCATGAGTCAGAAATGACTCCATGGCAACTGTTTGGATTTTTTTGTTTGTTTCACGTTTAAGGTACCTTTTTCATGGTATCAGTAAACAGTCAAGCCAATAAGACCTTTAGATCAATATGAGATAACCAGTGTTAACAAGTGGATATGATTCCAGCCAAGAGCAAGGGAACACGATTCATCAAATATTGGCAAGCACATAGCATGAATGCTATACTCTGCCACCACCTGCCATGACTGACTGATCATATGGAAAATGTTGACTTTGCTGAGATTAGCCTGAGCAGTCAACCCTACCCAGGGTTTTTGAGATATTGAGAACATACCCCTGGAATGCCCATTATCATCTCTGTGGAGATGTTCAGTTGTGAGCCACCTTGGAATAGTAAAGACCATGAGGGTCTGACATCAGACAGATGTGGGTAGGTTTATGTCTTGCCTCTGCCACTTCCTGGCTGGGTTACTTTGGGCAAAGTACAACAATTTTATGAGCCTCAGTTTCCATACCTGTCATTGAAGGTAAAAATATCTACAGTACTGGATTGTTAAGAGGATTCAATAAAGTCACTTCAGTAAAGAAAATGGCACACAGTAAGCACTAAACATGTACCCCTGTTCTCCAGTTCTCTCTTCTGCTTTCCTGATACTTGGATCTAAAGTTGGGATTTTTGTCACCAAGACAGACCCTGTAGAGAAGTTTGGGGGCCAGGAATTTTTCCAGCATACCTCAGATTTCATCACCTTCATGGGTTCTACCGACCCATAAGACCAGTTTGAGAGATAGAAATGTTGACTTCTGTATTTTTTTGTAGATTCTACTCCTCCAAGAAGAACTTGCAGTACATACTTGTATTAAATATAATTTAACAGCAATGATAGTAATAGATTGAAGCCTTTGGGATTCTGGAGTGAGATACAAAAATAGGTTTCCAAGTCTAATTTTTAACCCCCACTTTCCCATGCCATAGGAATTTCCAACTATAGGGGTAACCATACTTCCTGATTTACACCTGTTTCATGGTATAATTATTAACAAGGGAGGGGTAGGGTTAAGGGAGCCTGAGACCATCCTCTATCCTAAGTTCATGAAAGGCATTTTGTACAGTGAGGCAGGCTAGGGGCAGTGCAGACAGGCAGAGAAGGACGATGCTATAATACTAAGACTCTGGCTTAGTATTCTTCAGGATTCCTGGAAGGGGATGTGGGAAGGGGTGGGTAGTAGGACACTAGAGGAAAATGGTGATGTAGTGCCTTAGGCAGGGCTGGAGCAAAGTATCCTGACCTCAAGGTCTTGAAAACTGCAGAGCCACACACACTTAAGAGATCATGTGGCCTTGCCCAGTGAGTTTATCAGAAGTAAGTT